GGGGGAAGCATGGGGAAATAGTTTTACTTTGTGTAATGGCCCATCCACTCCAGTCTTTATTCGAGCCTAATTTAATGGTGTCCAATTTGCAAATTAATTCCAATTCAGCAGTCTCTTGTTGGAGTCTGTTTTTGAAGTTTTGTTGTTGTAATATTGCGACTTTTAGGTCCTCAGTGGGGCCCTGTGCTCAGCTTCATTTTTGGGGCCCCTCCTTGGGACCCAGCCAAGAAAAAGAACATTCTCTCTTATCTCCCCCTGCCCCCGTTTTTCATTCTTTTTTTCTTCATCCTCCTCCTATAATGAAAATAAAGTGAGGTACCTTGATTGTTTTTTGTAGTCTAACTTATTTTTCCATAGACCACTTGAAAAATCGCTGAGGGTCTCGGCAGACCACTTAATGATCTTTCCAGATATTGTTTGTACCGTTAGGTAACTATTGTAAAGTGCTTTGGATAAGAGGCTTTATTTAAAAAAAAACATTGGGGTGCAGGGTCAAGCCAGAACTTAGGGTGCAGGAGGGGGCTCAGAGCTGGGGTAGGGGGTTGGGGTGTGGAGCGCTTACCTGGGGCAGCTCCCATTTGGTGCGAGGGGTGCAGGTGGGAATGTGGGGGAGTGCAGGAGCTCCATTTGGTGCTCAGGGTGGGGGGTACAGGAGTCTGGGCATGGAGCAGGGGTGTGGTCTGGGGTCATGGGGTGCTCTCAGGCCCCTGCCCTCCCCAACCCCCCCGGCTCAAGGCAGGGGGTTGGGGGGGTACATGTGGAGGAGTGCGGGGACCCCACCTTTGCTCTGCCCCACCCCAATTCCACCCCCTTCCCCAAGGCCCCGCCACTGCCTCTTCTCCATCTCCTCCCCTGAGTGTGCTGTGGCCCCCGCTCCTCCCCCTCCCGCCCGGAGTGACCTGAGTGTTGGCAGCAGGGGAAGCACTGGGAGGGAAGGGGAGGGTGGGAAAGCGGCACACTCAGGGGAGGAGATGGGGGAGGGGGACCTTGGCTGCCCGTGGGTGCAGAGACTGCAGCAGGAGCCCCAGGAGCCAGCAGGACCAAGCTTCTGCCCCTTCAGCTCCCTGTCATGGGGGGGCCCATGCTAGGGCACTCTGTGTTTGGCTGTAAAACCGCCTCTGCTAGTCCTAGTGGAACATGGAGCTGAAAAATGGTTTTGTCCCATCTATAGTAGCAGTTTCATCATTGGCTGAGTAGGCCTAGAGAGGGATCCACTGCTGAACAATCATTGTCAGTGACTGATCGCTTTCCTAGTGTAAAAATGGCCTTAGTTACATAACTGTTAAAAACTGAAGTACAGTAGGAAACCTCTTGCCTCCTAGACTTCAGTACTTAGCCCATTCTGATTAACAAAGTGAATTTTAAGTCATTACACCAAATGTCAAGTTTTCACTTCATTTTATCTATGTATACATAAACCCCTATTCTCCACTAACACCAAACTATTTTTCTTCAGGACAGTGCTTGTTCCTGCACTCCTTTTTCAGGCAAATGACAGGTGCAGGCATCTCTTGTCTTCCAGATAGGCCGTGTTTTGTTTACATTAATAGGTCAGTTCACATCATTGAAGAAAACTTAACATAAAAATTGCAAAATGACTCTTCACTCACTATGCAATTTCTAATCCCCTTGGGCTGGGTTGGTAAGTTGATACATTTCAATATTTACTGTACTCCTTTAAAATAAAATATGCTAGGTGGGGGAATCAATTTCCCAAAGTAAAAATGGATCACTGCTGTTGTGATTTGGGGACGAGGAAATGATGAAACATTTACCCACTCTGGGAGGAGAGGCTGAATATTATGCAGTATTCAGAAAACCCTCTGTCCTTTCCTGATCCTTTTTTTTTTCCTGCTATCCCAAGGTTGCTGTAGTTGTCTTTAACTTGTGTGGGAGTTATTTCTCTTAAACTTGTAAAGTAAGAGAGGACTGTGCTAGACACTGACAGGATGATTACTTAAAAGATAATGATTGATCAGGAAGTTTAAAGCAGTGGTTCTCAACCAGGAGTTACATCAACTCATCTAAATATTTGCCTAGTTTTACAACAGGCTACATAAAAAGCACTAGTAGTCGGTACAAAGTAAAATTTCACACAGATGACTTGTTTATACTGCTCTATTTACTATACACTGAAATGCAAGTACAATATTTATTTCTAATTGATTTATTTTTAGTTACCTGGTAAAAAGGAGAAAGTAAGCAATTTTTCAGGAATACTGTGTTGTGACACTTTTTATAAGCTAGTAGAAGTGAGGTGAAACTTGGGGGTAGGGAAGACAAATCAGACTCCTGAAAGGGGTGTAGTGGTCTGAAAAGCTTCAGAACCACTGACTCAGAGGATGTGAATATTATAAAATCAGAGCTGCACCAGCCCCCATGAGGAATCCTATTCTATTCCTCCACGCAGGGACCGCCAGGAGCATAGGGGTGAGGGGCTGAGAGGGGGGGAAATCTGGCCCTGGCCAATGGCCAGCTCTCTGAGGGAGGAGGCTTGAACCAGGACCATGCCGCCGCTTTCTGGCGGACGACGACAGCCAGGAGCGGGCGGGGGAGGCTCCGGCCGGCCGGCTCAAGTGTTGCAATTTGCTCTGCTGGCTGCAGCGGCCCCAAGGTGAGCGGATCCCGGTGCCAGCCCCGCGTCCCCCTGGGGAAGAAGGACTCACCTAATGCCCCAGGGAAAGCCATGCTGGAGGCAGCGCCAGGACGCAGGCGGCGCTGGCCTGGGGAGAAGCCTTCAGCACCGAGGAGGAGGAGGCAGCGCTGGGGCTCGCTCAGCCCCCTGCCCGACCGGGGACTCTCCCAAGGGCTCCGCAGCAGCATCCCGCTGCGGACCGGGGTGTTATATTCAGCAGCCCCGGCATGTCCCGCCCCGCCCTGCTCTGCCCTGCCCTACCCTACCCGCGGGCAGCCCGCCAGCGGCTTCTTGCAGCGGGTCAGGTGGGCTCCGCGCGTGACGCCGGCCGGCTGCGGGAGCCGCTGTGCGGGGGCCTGGCCCTGATCTTGGCCCCGCGCCGCAGAGCTGAAGCAGCGCCCGGCCGGAGAGCCCGGCTGCAAAGGCCGAGGCGGGGTGCGCGGGGTTCCCGCCTCCCCCAGAGCCGCCAGAGGCCCGCGTGAAGGGACCGGCTGCGGGTGGAGTCCCCCAGCTCCCCCGCTGCGGCGGCAGGGCGAGCCCCGATCCCTACCTGAGGCGGGTGGGGGAGCCGGTCTCTCCTCCCGGTACTAGGCTTGTCCTGTAGCCGCAGCAGCTGCAGGCAGGGCAGCCGAGTGACTGTGCACAGCAGGGAACTTCTTACAAGGCGAAGGCTCGGGGAGGCGGGTTCCACCTCAAGTGCCCCTGGTGGAAACACACCGCACTGCCGCGGAGCGCTGGGGGAGTCGCCCACAGGCAGTGGCAGCGGCTGTGGCAGGGGAGTCAGGGCTTGCATGGACCCGTTCAGGGCAGCCAGTGCGCGCTGGTTCCTTAGCGAGGCTTCAGGACAAGGGTCTCTTGTCAAATGCCGCCTCCACCTCCCAAGCTCGGGGGGGCAGTGCCATCTCCTGGTGCTTCACCCCTGAGCCGCCTGGCTGAAAGCGGGGTGGAGGAGCTCCCAAGGGGATGTTCCCAGCCCAATGCGCCATCTCAAATCACCTGTGTCAAACACATTTCAAGACCTTGGAAAATGTAGGACCTGATCCAAAGCCTGCCGAGGTCAATGGAAAGATTCCCTTGGACATCAGTGGCCTCTGGATCAGCCCCAAAGTCTTTAGACTTTTCAAACTGCAGGTCCTGACCCAGTCCTGGGTTGCGACATGTCAGGCACTGGCTCACAGTGGCTTTGGTCAGACTGACTGGGCTGTTAAAAGTCCCGTCAGCGCCACGGTGCTGCCTTATCCCTACCTGTTCTGACACTGCGCTGCGCCCCGGAAGCAGCCAGCAGCAGGTCTGGCTCCTAAGCCGGGGGTCATGGAGCTGCCCCCACCTCAAGCACCAGCTCCACCCTCAATGGGAGCTGGTGCGGGGCAGTGCCTGTGGGCGAGAACCGCGGGGAGCCGCCTGCACACCTCTGTCTAGGAGCCGGACTTGCTGCTGGCCACTTCCTGGGCGCAGCGCGGTCTGCGGTGCCAGGACAGGCAGTAATACTGCATTTGCACTCCCACTGCGCCACTGACCAGGAGCTGTCACAGGTAAGCCCCTGCCCCAATCCCCGACCCCAGTCCTGAGCCTCCCCAACCCAAAGCCTCCTCCTGCACCCCAAACCCTTCATCCCTGGCCCCACCCCAGAGCCTGCACCCCCAGCCCAGAGCCCTCATCCCCTCCTGTACCCCAACCCCCTACCCCAACCCTGAGACCCCCCAAACCCAGAGCCCCCTCCTGCACCCCAAACCCCTCATCCCTGGCCCCACTCCAGAGCCTGTAAAGTGTCAGGGGTATCAAACTTTGTATGCAGACCCTAGTTAGATGACTGATATCAGGCCATAAAGTTCAGCCTTTTAGCAGCACACCTGTGTGTTACACATTTATTACACTGCCCATAGGGGAAGTTTTTTGCCAATTCTGTCAGTTAGTGGTTGGTTTATGCCCTAACACATGAGAGTTTATCCTTTCTTTTAAAAAAGTTTTAATCTATCTAATGTAACTGTAGGTATTCTCATTATTAAATAAATATAAATGTTTTAATCCTTTTTTAAACCTATTAAGTTCTTGGCCTTAATGATATCTTTTGGTAACTACTCCCACAAATTAACTTTGCATTGTGTAAAAATGCATTTCCTGTTGATTTTTCAATTTAATTGAATATCCTCTTGTTCACATACTATACAGTAGCACCCAAATTACCTCTTCATATCATCCATAACTTTGTATATATCTATTGTGACTGAAGTAGGAATATTTGTGTGAATAATAACTTGCAGGATCAAGCCCTTAATTTGGAATTTAACCTCTTCGTGACAGTAAACATGACTAGTATAGCTACAATCCAGCACAGAAGTTCCATGATATATGAACTCTGAGTTAGCTCAGCATTTTAATATGTGAAAAACAGAAATTTAGTAAGTTCTGTAGTTTTGTTTGCATGCCAACATCCACTGAAGAATGCAAATTACATAGCACAAAATTCAGTGTCAGGAGATTGTGTAATACCAATCCTTTGAGACAATAGCTTTCACCTAGGAGATGATTAAGCTGGAACATACATTAACCAAAATCAGGAAATAGTTTCTCATTTTTACTGGAGATTTTTTCAATTATGAACATATGCTTTAGCTCCTAAAGTGCCTTGAAGTTAATGGATTTATATTTTTAAAGTACATTCATACTAATATTGATTTGTACTTTACTGTAGGGCAAAACAAACTAATGGATCAGATAGCAAAATTTCTCCATATTTGTAATGGACCATTAATGGTATCCAAAGACGTGATGTTATATACTTTTCTTACCTTTGTCTTTTTGTCAGTGTTGTAATTGGTATAGGTATCTTTATATTTAACTGTTGAAGTTAGTCATACTGAAACATTAGAAATAGAAGTGATAGATAAGAATAGTTTTGAAAAGCTGGGAGGGGAGATTGGTACTAAATGTAAAATGTTATTGAATTATATTTATAAATGTTAAATTATTCATTATATTCTCTCTACTAGAAGAGACATGCAATTCGGTAGATTTTTTTTTTAAGGACATATTAATATAGATGAGAGTTGTAGTGAATTACAAAGCAAGGAAATTATTCCACAGAGGGTTTGAGATGATGTAAAACACAAGAGTGAAATCTGGTCTTGGGTGTCTCTGCAGTTGCAGTGTGTACATGCATTAAAAGGGGAGGCTTATGTTTTGCCTCTTTCAAGAATGGAGTCAAAAGACAGAGTAACTGATTGACATGCATGTAAGTAAGTAAACTAGCTAGGAAGCTGGGATTTTAGCTGCTCCTGACTTGTTTTGTTTGGGAGGGGGGTTGTTCTTGTCATCAAGAGAGAGCATGAAAAACAACCATTTTTGTTTTGTTTTGTTTTGTTTTAAGATGGGTTAAATTTGGAACTTGACAGTGGTGGCAGTATACCTTTCAAATCTATTCCCGCTCTTATGGAAAGGCATTGCAATAACTCAATAGGGCAGGGTTAGAGTACTCACCTAGGATGTAAGAGGCCCAGGTTCAAATCACCCCCTCTCTGATTTAGAGCAGAGAGTTGAAACCAGATATCCCCCCTCAGTACTCTAAATAGTGGGCTATAAGGTATTCTGAGATGGATCTCTCTCAATCTCTCCTGTTGAAGCTGCTCTACTTTGTATGAGATACTGTCATAGGGCCCACTCACCACAGTGGCACCTCCTGCTGGCCATCCTGGGGATAAGCTCTGTCAATTGCTGTGCCCTCTTCAGGTGATGCCTCACCTACAGGGCCAGCTCCAGGCACCAGACGAGAAAGCACGTGCCTGGGGCAGCACATTGTAAGTGGCGGCATTCCGGCCAATCTTAGGGCGGCACATTCCGACCGCCCTGCCATGGTTCTTTTTTTTTTTTTTGGTCAACCCGGTCCACAGCTCCGGAGCCCCCGCTGGCTCCCCGCACTCTGCCACTCCCAGCCCAGAAGGGGCACGGACCCCAGCCAGGGGGGCAGGAACTATCGATCCCCGCTGCTCACCGTGCCGCCGGGCTCCCCGGGACACGCCACTCCCTGCCGCCTGCACCAACCTCCGCCTCCCGTGCCACTCTGAGCCCTGCCCAGCCGAGCCGCCTTTAAAGGAGCGGCTGAGCCAGCACCTCCCGCAGCCCCCGGGGGCTCCGCCTGCCCGTCCGGGAGAGGCACCCCAAGGCCAGAGGGGGGAGCCCCTCTCACCCAGCTGCGAGGCACCACCCTTCACCCCCCTGCAAGCTGCCTTGACAGCCCTCCACACGAGCCCTGCGGCTGCGTTTTTTTTTTTTTTGCTTTGCGGCGGCAAAAAAGCTAGAGCCGGCCCTGCTCACCTATCATCCTCTCACCCTGCAAACCCTCTTCATGACTTGGCCCTCCAACTGAGTCACCATCCGTCTTTCGCCCTTCTGGGGTTACCCAAAGTCTTTCTATGCAAACAGTCCCAGACAGTCTTCTCCTGTGCTGCCATGATGGTTCCACTTCCCCAGTGGCTAGTAGGGGAACCCGGGCCCACCCTCTTCTCTGGGTTCCAGTCCAGGGTCCCTCGGCTCATCAGTTCTGGGCTCTACCCTTTCAGCCCAGACTGCTTCCTAATCTTCCTGGTCTCTCCCCCTCCCCCCATCCCTGGGAGTACCAACTCCCTCCTCCCAGTGCATGACTGCTCTTTCCCCAACAGCCCTGTCTGTTGTCAGCTCCTGGGCTTTATAGGTCCCATCTATTCCTGCCCAGCTGAGCAGGGGTTGCAAGCATGGGCAGCGTGTGAGCCTCCCCTTTGGGGAGGCTAGCCATGCAGCCCTGCCCCTTCCACTGAGGCCAGAGGCACCCTGGGAACTATCCTGGGCCACCGCCTGCTCTCAGCACCAGCCGCAGGCCACCAACCACTGCCAGCCCTAGCCCCAGGCTGCCGGCCAGTCCCAGTGCCAGGTCACCTGCCACCCCCCAGCGCCGGCCATCCCCAGGGCCGGGTCACCTGCCAGCCCCAGGTCATCTGCCAACCCCCGCATCAGCCCCAGTGCCAGGTTGCTGACTTCCGGCTGAAACTGAGCTCCTGCTGGCTTGGGGGAGAGGGTGGAGCATGGGTGGGGCCAAGGCTTCCTTTAGGGGAGGCTTAGCCTCCCCTGGCCTATTATACCCACTGCCCATGGTTGCAAGCATTGTGGAGGACAGGATTAGAATTCAAAATGAATTTGACAAATTGGAGATTTCATCTAAAAATCA